AGTGAAGCATATAGCAAAAGAGCAAGTGTCTTCCTTATCTGTGATGTCTAAGCAATCCTGGTCTAAAGTTCTAGGCTTGTTGTGTTGCCAGCAGCACAAAGGACTGGATTGACAAGGCATCTGTGTGTTTTCCATAAGGGATCAAAAAGTCTTTCTAGATAAAGAAGATTTTTTTTCATTGATTTTTTTTAAAAAAAAAAAAAGGAAATGGGCATGCATAGATTTTATGGTGGGATTTTTTTGTTATGCATAGTATGGCTTTTTAAAGAGAAGGAGTTCAGGTTTGGCAGTATCTTAGTTTCACTCATAAAATGCTCTGAGCAGAGTTGTCTCTTGGTTACATTTTAAAGAAAAAGAAGTCCTGTTCAAAAACGCAACTTCAAAGATTATTATATGAAAAAATCTTCAACACAAACTTATCTTGAGTTAAGTTGGCTGGGAAAGCAGGAGAAGTGATGAAATGTATTATAGTTGTCTCTCTGCTTTGTACCTAGTAATGCATTTGTAAGACTGTACCCTGATTCCGGACAGCTTTTCTGAAAGACTGTTTTAAATAACTGAAATATTTTCCTGTATTAGTTTATTTTTATAATGTACTAAGGAGCAGAAATTTGTCCAGTGTAACCAATCTTTTTCTGTGTTTTAAATTTGTTATTTTTTTATGTTATCTTAAATTGAACTTTTATTGATCATAATACATAAACTTTAAATGCTTATACATAACATACTTTGCATTATTTAGTCAACAGGGGAAAAATTAATGCAGTATCGTAACAAAAAGTATGATCATTTGGACTTTAGAAGAGGATACATTTCTACATGAAATTAATTGATAAGAATGCCTGGAAGTTTTTTGGTGTGTCTTGGCAGTGTTGTAAACTGAACTTCACTGTTTGCATCCCACTGTATTTGTAGGATGTGACTTGTCTCTAGAAAACCCTTGTTACTGTTTCCCAGAATATCTTACTTTTTTCAGCATCTAGCAGTTCTTATCTAGCCAGAGACAGCAAGGGTACATCCGGCTTATTGCTCCACATGTTCGAATTTATTACCAGGTTATACACGAGCAATTTTTTGTTGGTACTGGGGCTGCATACTTCATTAAATAGGTGAGCAAAGTCTTGGGATGTCTCTGAGGGTTCTAATGTTTCAGACTGTCATATACAGAGGGGACCAGTGCTTGCCAGCAGCAGCACCCTGGCAGCACTGTAAACAAGACTGAACTAGGCTGGATATAGTGCTCTGGGCCAGGGACCCACATGGAGAGTGTAAAATGAGGGTCTACCAGAGGGGTAAGGTTGTTTGTATAAGGGGTGTGGCAATGTTGTTGTTCTTTTTCCTGAAGGTGTCATTTCATGTTTCCATGCAAAAATAAAGAGAATGGACCACAGACTTTTGGAGATACTTTCTGTGTAGGAAAAGATATTTGGTGCTTAATACTAGCTGAGTTGCCCATGTTTAATTAGAGGAGCATTCCATTGTAACTGACTTGCTGACAGGAGCAGATGATCAAGTGCAGCTGACTGTGCAAGAGTTGGTCAGCTCTCCAAGCCGTAATGTCTGGTTTGGAGTAAAAAATATTTCTCTGCCAAATAGTAAAACTTTTGTCTTTCAACCACAACCGATGTTGAACACTGATTGTTGTTTGTATTCCAGGTAGTTCAAGATACAAATGCTAATGCAGCAACAGACTTGCTCATCCTTACCACATAGAGTAGAACTGAACACTCCAGCACTCAATTATTGACATAAAAAAGGTTATTACTGCTCATGAGACTTCCTCGGTTGTAGTTCTTCAGACCAATGTGCTTATTAGTGTTTCAGTAAGGTCTTAATAATAATTGGTTATGTTACCATATGAAGAATATTAAGGTCTTTAGCTGGCAGTCTCAGTATTCTTCAACAGAGTATGGTTCTTTTTGTACCCCTAAATGATATGCTAACTGAACACATAGTAAAGCACAATTTTACTTTTTTTCCTGTTATCTGGTAAGGACTGTAATATGTATGATGCATTTAGAGTAGAGCTGGAAAAAAACTGAATTACTCAAATGAGCATTTTATGCTTCTTAATAATATTCAGTTGCACTTCAAAAAGCTCTAAGTATTTTTAAAGCATTTACAAGCATGCTTAGGAAATGGCTTATTTCTGATGGAAAAACAGAGAGTACAAAACTCACCCATCTCCACTTTTGCAACCTTGCTGCCTTCCAATTTACAGAAACTTACTTGAGCAAGAACTATATATTTTAGTTAGAACTGTAAATGTATTGATTTGTTCCCATACATTTCAGCTGCTGCTTGCACTTCATTGACATGCTGTTAGGTCGCTTTTGCTTCAGTTAGTACAGACTTTTTTTTTCCCCAGTATTTTTATGCTAATACAGTGAATCAAATCCTCAAAGATAAAATCTGATAGAACTACTCCATTACTTTAAAAATGTTGAGAATTGTAATAGAATAATTTGACAGAGCTGGCATTCAGGCTCCTGAAGAACATAGGATACAACATTCAGTTGCATGCATTTTATTTTTGTGTTTTCCATAAGGCACCCGTATCCTTTATTTAGTGAATGCCGTATTCTTTATTTAGGGAATGAATGGTGCTTACTGAATTTGTAGATGTTCAGTGCTTTTTGTATGGAGTAAGCGGATGACAAGAATTTGAAGATACGTTCTGAATCTAGTATTGTATATAGGCTTATTTTTCACTTGACATTTTCGGTGAGGGTCCCATTGCAAAATCATAACACCTTTGAAAATACTATATGATTTATACTTGCTGCATATTACAGTGCTGCATAACCTGAGATTGGAACGCTGCCTGAAGAACATCGTGGCACTTCGCTGCACAGACAGGAGTCAAGGGCTTTCCTAGTGTTCTGCAACTACTTAAAATAACCTGATCATAAGCATAGTACTTCTTTATAATAACTTTTTAACAATGCTATCTAACCAAAACTAAGACTCCTACTTGCAAGATACATATATGGGTTTTTTAAAAGAAAAAAAGGTAAAAAAGTAAAACATCAGTTTTCAAAGTATTCCTGATTTGAACAAAGGAGTTGAGCAGTGATCACCATATAAACAACACAGCAACTAATTTTTGGGATCCAGTAGCTGAGACTGTATGTTGGTGACAGAAAGAAGGTGAAAGCTTTGTGATCAGAAGTTACTTTTTGGCATCACCAAAGACAACAAGAATGTAAAAGGTCGTTGAAATCTTGGATGAAGGTGTTGCAATGGTGGTTGTGATTCTCCTAATGGGGTTGCATGTGGTTTTGCTGGCATTTTTTGCAATGTATTGGAGGAATTTTTTGAGTCTCTGATCCATGAAGCTCCTTTGCACTAGGAAAAACTATTTGTTTTAATAGGGAGTAAGAAAGCCCAAAGTCTACCTGCTGCTTGCAGAGGTATTAGCAATATAAAGAACAGTTACCAAAACCACAGAAAAGCTGTTTTTTCCTTCTTTCATTAAATGTGTACATATGTTAGAAAAATTGAGGAAGTCTAATGTAAGTTAAACCATTTTTTGTGATTGTTTTTTCTTAAAGTTATTTCCTTGCTATATAAGGATGAGTGAGGCTGTTCAATTTTTTCTTTCCTTTGTGTTTCTGAACTTTTTTTTAAATCTAAATTCTACCCTTTTAGGGGTTTTTTTTTTTTGTTTATTTGGTACAGGTAATGTAATGGTGGGTGTTTGTTATTTCAGACAATAAGATTTAGAGCACAGTGTCTGGACTTTTGTTAAAAAGGGCCTTTCTTTGTATTCTCTGGTCCTGAGCGCAGGTCAGGGCAATCTTCCTCTTTTGCCTGGTTGAATGCTAATAGAGGACTGGTCCAGGTTCTGTCTTCACAAAAAGTAATAAAAAAAGTCTTCAAGAGGCAGCTTTTTTTTTTTCCCCCTAAATTATCTGCTGCTTCCTTGTTGTCTATTTTTGCTTCTTCTTGTTCATTTTCAAGATATACAAAATCACCAATGGGATGACTGTTTTTCCCTATTCAGATGTGGTTTGTAGTTCTGCTGCCTGTAACACACATCTGGGAAGTGTGGGGATTTGCTGGAGTTCTTGGAGCACAAAGTACTGTATCAAACCCACTTATTCCATGAATAGTTTATTCACTGATATATACACATGCATGCTCACATACTTATCTGTGTCTCTATGGTAGTAGGAGTGCTTCTTAGTTAAAAACCAAAATGGCAACATACCACATTGTGGTGAAATTGATCCCGTGGGGTATATCTGGTTTCTTGAAAACTTTCACTGAGTGTGAGGCAGTTGTGCTGGTGTCACAGCTGCCTTGAGCTGCTCAGCACCTTGGGTTCCCCAAACTGTTGGCTGCCCTGACAGCTACTTTTCTGTTCAGCTGACTTTAGCTGGAAAGTTGGCAGGCTTAACTGGTGAGGGACCTCAGATCTTGAAAGATCTACATACATGGGATGCCTGCAAGATAAGCTAAACTAAATCATACCTGGGCAACAGTCAGGCCTACAAACCAGAGTAAACAATGTTGGCATTTTAGGTGTTTCTAAACTGAAGTATTTAAAAAGTATTTAAGCGTCTGGAAAGGAGCAATTTGAGATTTGGAGTTTGTTCTAATTTTATTTCATGTTGTAACATACACTCTCTGTGTGTTTTCTCTTTGAACTTTTTTTCTAATTTCATTTTAGGCTATGGTTTTAATTTTTTTAAAATAGTTTTCTTCTTCAGATTTGTTGAATTTGCTTTTTTTCCAGTAGTATTTACAGCAACAACTTGCATATAAAGGCAAAACTTTCATCATGGTTAAAAAGACCATTGCACAAAATGTTTAAGATTGTAATAATTAATACAGCATTTATATAGTTGTATTTATAAGAACATTTCATGTTGTCTTTGCATCATGAAAACCTGCCAGATTGTCAAAGTGACTTTTGGAGCACCTATGTGTTTTTTTTAAAATTATTTAACAGGTAAATGCTTTTTCTGTAACACAATGTTTTTTCATGTTTGTAGGTAATATATGCTTTGAACACTAAAAATGATGAACATGAAGCTGCTATCCAAGCCCTTAAGGATGCTCATGAGGAAGAAATTCAGCAAATTCTTGCAGAGACCAGAGAGAAGATATTGCAGTATAAAAGTAAAGTTGCCGAAGAAATGGATCTCAAGAGAAAGATACAAGTTTTAGAAGAGTCACTGGAAGATCATAAAAAGATGAAACATCAGGCCTTGACAGAATTTGAAGCCTACAAAGATAGAGTTGAAGATATGCAGCTTTGTGCAGAAGCTCAGCATGTCCAACGTGTAGTGACCATGTCAAGAGAAGTAGAAGAGATCAGAAAGAAATTTGAAGAAAGGCTACGAAGTTTCATACAATTGCAAGTGCAATACGAGAAAGACAAACGTACGGCTCTGGAAGATTTGAGAGCTGCCCACAGGCTTGAGATTCAAGAACTTCTGAAGACTCAACAGAGTCAGAATGCTACTTTAAGTAAGGGGCAAGAAAAGCTGGAGGAATTGCACAGACTGGAGCTGGAAGACTTGAACAATAAAGTTGAAGAGTTAAGGCTGGAAAGAAAAAAACTCATTGAGGACTATGAAGGGAAACTCAGCAAGGCCCAGTCCTTCTATGAACATGAACTTGATTCTTTGAAAAGGTCTCAGCTCTTTACAGCAGAAAGTCTGCATGCTTGCAAAGAAAAAGAAGTGGAGCTAAGAAAAGAATTTCAGAACCAGGAAAGTATTTTACGGAAGAATCTGGGAAAGCTTAAAACTGAATTGCAAATGGTCCAGGATGAAGCTGCCAGTCTAAGAGAAAAATGCCAAAAACTTCAGGTGGCTCTAGGTACAGCAGAAAACAATGTGCAGGTGAGACCGATAATATGTTTTTCCCAAGACTAAGTTTATTTAGGCTTTCTATGAGGCTGATAGATTGAGGTGATTGGAACATGTAAACCTAATTTTCTGGCACTTGTACTTGATTATCATCTTCTTCTAATTTTTTTAATTTATATTTTTTAATTTATTTTGTGTTTAATTTTCCCAGACTGAATTAGTACTACTTTATATTCCAGTAGAATCTAGAAGTCACTACTCAGAGGAAAGTTTTGGTTTCCTTTCTTTCAGCTGTTCATGAACAGAACTTGGTTGTTCTCGTGCTCAAAGTGTAGTGTACTCGATAGAATACTCAAATCCATTGCCACTTAAAGAGCAGACAAAAATCCCAAACCAAAGCCTGTTCCCCTCTCTCCAAAGAGGGAAAAAAAAAAAAAAAGGCAGCTAAGCAATGTCTTTGCATCAGGTCTACTCAAAAACTCGTCTTTCCATCCCCACAAAAGAGAAGATTGAGAGGGAAGAAGGATATTAGTGACTGGTACTATTTGAGATGTTACGTTGTCAAACGAAAATTCTTGCTAGAAAAGTTGTGAAACCCCTTATCTAGACTGTAAAGCTTCTTTCAGAAATGTTTGACAGAAATATCATACAGTTGACGCTATAAGTATAATTAATATCTTCTATTCAGTGCAGTCTTGCTTTTGGAGGTCACTATTTCACCTAAAGATGGTGGGTGTTTAGAAAAGTAGATCTGTGTGGGGCAAGAAGAAAAAAGATTTACGGTTGTTTTAACTTTTTTTCTTATATCTGCTTCAATGGTATCACAAGTAACTGAAATACTGTGTGCATTTTCATTGTGTACTTGTCTGAGATAGAGATAATTTTCTTCATAATAGCTTGTATGGGACTATGTATGGGACAGCTTAAACTGTGTCGCTACTAAACACTCTGTGTTGCCATTAAGGGCACTGAAAACTGCTGTGAACATATAATGTATTCTTTATCCTGAAGAATTCTGAGATACCAGAAACCAGGGTTCTCAAATTGTCTCCCAAACTCTGTGGACCATGTTACTGGTCTTATTTTTTTACACCTTTATGAATATTGTTGCATTTCTTTTATGTATCCTTTTCACGTCATATATCCAGTATCTTTTAGTCCTTCAGCAATATTTTTGGAAGAACATGTAATACAAAATGAATATCACAGTAATATTACAAGATTTCAGCATGTGTATGAATTGAAACTTATTTACTGAAAGGTCTTTTCTGTATGTTTTGACCTAATGCTTGTTTGAATTTAAACATGATAGTATATAATGGTAACAAGTATTATACTTGTCGTTCCTCTAGGTTCTTCAGAAACAGCTAGATGATGTGAAGGAGGAGGAGATGTCATTGTTAAGCAAACACAAAGAAGTGGAAAGTGAGCTAGCAGCTGCTAGAGAGCGCTTACAGCAGCAGGCCACTGATCTTGTTCTCAAAGCCAGTATGTATGTCAGTAACTTAACATGGAAATGAACTTTATTTATTCTAACTGTTCCTTCTTTTGTTAGCTTTGTGCAGGTTTAAAGTGCCTAAAGACTGTTCAGTGCTATCTCAGACAAGTTTTGTGTTTTTTAGCTGTTTTGACGTGCATGCCTTGTAGTTAAGAGACTTTTTTTGTCTCTGTGTATTTGTCCCAATGTGCTACTTTGTGTGGCCTGTATATATCTTCCAGGCCTTGGAATTTCTTGCCCTAACTGCACTTGTACTGAATACTTCTGCAATGTCTCTGCCTGTTCTCCACATAGTCTCTGAGACATGCTTCCTCTTTCTCCATTCTTGCTCAATTGCGTTGTCTTTTTGCTGAGATTGTGGTGCTTTGCTTCACATCTACTGTCAGAAGACTTAGAGCTTATCAGTTATTAAAGCTGTTAGGATTTTCTTTATAGCTGTTTTCTTTATTTTTCTGTGCTCATTTTTATATGGAAAAGCATAGAAAATGGCATAAGATTTGCCTGTATACGTATGAGTTTTGACTTATTGGCATTGTGTCTCTAGTAAACTGCTCAGTGGTAGGTAAGGTATGGGCACAGGCCCAAGTACTTGGTTAGCCACACTTTAGGTAGGACTGTAGGCTAAAAATAAGCCCCTGTCTTGTCTTTGGCCTTGTTCAACTAGGCCAATCGTAGAAATACCTGATTATTTTCCACACAAGTTAGCACAAGCCCAAAGGCCCTTCCTAAAAGTCATTGTGGATAAGATTGCCTTGTTTTGAAGGCTGGGATGTTGCCAGACTGTGCCAGTTAGCCTTAGGCCCAGAAAATACTACACAATGTTAACTTGCTAATACTGCAATAGTTTACTATTTATATTATATACTGTGTATAATACTGTATTTACTATTACAGATGGCTACATGTGGCATAGCCTTCAAACTGAATATGTGAATGTGCTTTATTTCTGTCCTGAAGGCTTTATTTCTGTCCTTGAAGTAATTAAGCGGTTCCTACATGTAGACTGAATGTATCTGCTGCCTTAGAAGAGCTTAGGTAGGAAATCAAGAAAGAGATCCAGGAGACCTGCATGGTTAACCAAGGATCTGCTGGGCAGACTCAGGTGGAAGGGAAGGGTATATAAATTGTGGAAGGAAGGGCTGGCCTCTTGGGTGGAGTATAGGACTGCTGTCAGAGAATGTAGGGAGAAAATTAGAAAAGCTAAGGCCTCCTTGGAATTAAAACTTGCAAGGAAGGTCAAGAGCAACAGAAAGGGCTTCTTCAAATACATTGCCAACAAAACTAACACTAGAGGCACTGCAGGCCTTCCTGTGAATGAGGTGGGTGCCCTGGAGACAGA